TAAGCCAGCCTGCCAGTGAGGAAAAGGAAATGCTTTCACTTCAGAGCTTTTCGAAGTCTGGACAAAAGCTCACTTTCTGTTCTTCAGGTTTCCTATATATGGCTTTAGCCTCGAGATGAGGACCTGCTCGCTGCACACCCTCTCCCATCCCCCATTTCCTGCCTGGGTTCATTAAATGCTGATTTGAAGTTGGCACATGCTCTTCTGATACAAAAGTAGTACTGTGTTCCAGGAACCATCAGAAAGTAGTGCCTTATTATCTTTTACATTCCCTTCATATATATGTCCTCTCCCCATGTGTAGAGAGGATTTTTATCCCTTCTTCTTAAATATCTCTGTGTGTTTAATAAAAAGAAACAGTGAAGCAAAGCCCTGTCAAAAAAACCTCAGCTCATTTGGGAGCGATCTGGCCCCAGGCTATATTCTTTAATGCTAGTATCTGCAAATTGCTAATATTAAGCAAAGTGGAGTATAGGACATAATGACTTCACCGAATCATTTTCCTATCTCTCGTGCTTGTGTTTCAGTATCATGTTACACGGGAGAGAACGGTTTTCTATTCTGAGATTCTAACTTGAGCAGTGATGGTTATTGTGATGAAATTAATGTGTACCTACATAGAGGCCTGTATATTTTCTATTTTTAGCAGTACAGTTACTTACTTCTTTCCTGCTATATGAACCCACCATAAAAGATGAGAAAAGTCATTGAGACGCTGAGTCCTGTAGAGATAATTACAAGTCATGCCAAGGAGTTAGGTAACTGATCCTCAGGTTGCCTGTGATATCTTCTGTTGTTGTTTAAATTAATACTTTCTATATCTTTCCTACCTGTTTCCCACTTACAGTCATTTAAAGAGTCATACCAGTTCATTATTACCAGCACTAAAAAGAGAATAAGCAAGGTAATAGCGATGAGACTGAACAAGCCATATTACTGCAACATCTCATTATTGCAAATTATGCTGCAGTTACATAAACAAAGTCATTTTCAGGCTAGTCTTTCCTGAAATCCACTCAAGTGAATTGCTCAGATGGGTGTCAACTGATTCCCGTTGAGATCAATGACATGGGCTTTGATGGCCTTCAGAGAAAACAGCTGTGTCTTTTTGTTTTCTTTGCAACAAAACACTCTCAAATAATATATTTTCCCTTTCTCCAAGTGGGAACTGATTATTACTTGTTCCAAAGTGCTAAATGTAGTAGAAGTGCAAAGATTTGTGGAGCAAAGAGGCTAGGCTAATAGTGGCCAGTTAGACAAGTATTAGATGTATACTGGTTCTTAGCAGGATTTTAGATGAATAGCCCAACCTACCAGCCTGCTGCCCTGAAAACGTGCAGTCCTGTTTTCCTCATCTGCCGCGCTCCTGGCCACGTGCTCTTGTTTTTCTCTTGTATCTATCATTTTGGTTCTTTGGTCAGATGATTCAGCCCACTATAGTTGCTGGCATCTAACCCAGCAAACCCCACCTCCTTCAGCACCTCCAACGCTTCAGAGAGGCCCTGTTTCCTCAGGAAGGTGAGATAAAGGACATATCCTGTATGGGGTAGAATTAATCTAGTTTTGAGTCCTGGACCCCAGTGGGATGCTTGGTGTACAGAAAGTTAGCCATGTGCATTAATTATCTTGCTGAGTCAGAGTCTTGGTTTACGGTTGAAACACCGCATAAAGAAATAGACTCCATGAAGGTCTTTTCAATGATTTGTGGTATTAATGGAGCAAAAAAAGGTTAATTCTTAGGGGCTCGTATCTGCATGAGGAAGCTACTCTGCAGCGAGCTGGTGAGTAAAGCTTTAGCCTCAGAAGTTATTTGGTAAGGGCTCCCCATGTGACACTTCTGTTCCACTTGGCGAATGCCTTTGGGTGATGAACATAGTCAACCTTGGCAATGGATTAATTAAGCTGAGCAAAGGTGCTAATAATGTGCAGCAGAAATACTTACGGGGTGCCTAATGCACAACAGTTATTTTAAGCATTATCCCTCTATAGACCACTTCTAAGAACCACTAGTTAAAATATTGAACCAAATGCTCATTTGAAACATGGGGCAGATTAATTATAATAATTTTTCACCACTTGCCACTAAGGCTTTCCAAATGCCTTGCAAATACTACGGGAACGATTTAACTTAAAAAAAAAAGAGTTTGAAAAATTTATTTTCACTTTTTGTTCACACATAGTCAACCTTGGCAATGGATTAATTAAGCTGAGCAAAGGTGCTAATAATGTGCAGCAGAAATACTTACGGGGTGCCTAATGCACAACAGTTATTTTAAGCATTATCCCTCTATAGACCACTTCTAAGAACCACTAGTTAAAATATTGAACCAAATGCTCATTTGAAACATGGGGCAGATTAATTATAATAATTTTTCACCACTTGCCACTAAGGCTTTCCAAATGCCTTGCAAATACTACGGGAACGATTTAACTTAAAAAAGTTTGAAAAATTTATTTTCACTTTTTGTTCACTTGTTTGCATTTCAGAGTTTAAAGGATTAAAATAATTTCTAAATAATCTCAAGTATGTGCTTTGGGGCAGTCTGTGTGTATATATATATGTGTATATACATTTATAATTTTAATCCACAGCTCTATCCTTGAAGCTTAAAATGCTTAATTTTGCCTTTTTAACTATCAGAAGAGAGTTGACAATTACAGATGTGTTATTACTGCCTTCATGTAGGAGTGCACTGAAGCATGTAAGACTGCTGTTGGGATCCATACCTGTTGCAGTCAAAAATAATTCTGTTTCAGCTTCGGTGGGGCAGGATGGTACAGTGACTTCTACAGTCACACAGCAAGTCAGTGCCTCAGCCACAGATGAGTGTCAAGAAACCACTTCCCAGTTCTGCATTTTGTCCATTGGAGCAGACATCCTATAATTGGTTAAATTTATATATTTAGTGCACTGAAACCTGAATTCTTATTGCCAGCCATCGAGTCCTAACTGCTACCATGTTAGGAGCTGGCAGTGTCTCATGAGAGACATTCAAGAAAGTCAGTACTTGAAACAAATGCTCTTCAAGCTTTGGCTTTGTTTTTTATTGGGAGGTTTATTTTATAATTTAAAAAACACTCTTCTCCATGCCTTTTCATTTTAAAATGGATTATTTCCATTTAAAAATTATCTTCATCTTTCATGCAAGGGCTGTCTTCTCAGATGGCTTATAAATTCAGACATTGACATCAAAGTCTGCTTTCTCTGCTTATATGATTGATTCAGATGCAGAATATGATGGGAATGTGGTAAAAACAGAAAGGCAATCGCTGTTACTGAGCATAAAACATTCATATAGAAGTGGAGCATTTCTCCAGTGAGTGTTGCAGAGGATTTGTATCACATTAGTCTGTCACGAGTATGGAAATAGTCTCCTAAATTTTAAGAGTACGGAATAGTATAAATCGAAATAACCGTAAGTGCAAAAGGACCGAGCACCTTTTCTTCCAAATGTAATCATACCTGGATGAGATCTGTGGTGAAAGCATGTAGTGTAATGTGAGGCCAATGTTATATTTTATATTTTCAGTTTCATAGGAAATGGTATCTTAGACAGCAAACAAGTCATCTGTACTCCATCGCTAGAACCATTGGTCTTAACAATGGTAGTAAGCGATACAAAAATAAATTTCTTGTTAATATTTTTATTATTAATGATTTCTAGTGTTGTGCTAGCCTGTGCATCTTGGTCTGAAATGCACTGAAAGGCACAGGCAACTTAGAAGGGAGCTCTTGCCAAGAGCAACGTAGTACGTGACAAAGGCCGGCGCGCGACTGCAGGCGCCGCAGGTTACAGCAGCGCTGCGGCGGGGGTGCAGCCCCTTTGCTCTCACGTGAGCATTTCTAACGTCCCCATCCCCGAGGGAACACGTGGGACAGCAGGAAGCAGATGTGCGATATTACATGCTGGTCAGGGACTGGAATTAGAAGTGCAGGATTGAGTTCCTGCCCCGAAGTGACAAATGGTATAATGCTGAATTAAATGAAGATTTAATTTATTTTGGTTTTCTGCTAACTCTTTCTCCCTCTTTGGGGCTGGGCTTAAGTCTGTGCATAGGAGAGAGAACTGATCCCAGTTTCCAGCTCTCTCTATTTTGAGATACTGCTTAGCCAAGCCTCAGTCCCAGAAAGGGAAATATAAACAAATTCTATTCCACAATTATCTTTCACTAGCTCTTAGCAGTCTGTTTGATAGAGGGTTTACTTAGAAGAACAGATAAATGAGTACATGAAACATTTTATCATGCTAATAATATCAAAAAATAAAAAGCACAGCAGAGCGTCATCTCTGGCCTTCATATGAAAAGGCTGTGTCCATTTAGGAAACAAAGGTGGAACTTACCCAAGGTGCATTAAATATAATCCTAGGTTTTCTGGGAATCAATCCTACTTCGTCGTTTTCAGAGCATATATTTTTCTGTATAAATGTTCTTAGGACACTGTCATAAATCTAGTTGTTTTGTGCGTTACTCAGAAAACATTGAAGTTCTGGGCCTAAAATTGCTGACCAAGAAATGTTCTGCCAGCAAGGCTTGTCGTAATTTATATTTCTAAGAGAAATCAAAAGGCACCAGTGGAGGCTTCTCTCTATTTCCGTCATCAGACCATAATCCAATTACAAGGTTCCAAGTTCCAAGCTGTATTTCCATCCAAGTTTTCACCTACAAGAGAGATAAAAGTGATGTAGAATAAAAGTTGCATTCATCTCTAATTAATAATTATGATATTAACAATAATTAACAGGTAACTTCAGAGTTGAAATGGGATGAGAACAATACTGGGATCCGAAGCTTGTCAACTCTCTTCCTCTCTTTTCTAGCCTCCAATCTAAAACGGAGTTGTATGAGAAGCAGCAGGATGGCTGGGGAGGGTGGGCAGTAAAATCTTTGCCTCCAAGCCCTCTTCGGATCAGATGAGGTCCTACAGGGAATGTCAGTGGTGTCTGACACAAAGCACTAATTTGATTTGTAATCATTTGTTTTCTTCTCTTCATTTCCAGCTTCAGAGCCCAATTTGAAGGTACGTTCACGGTTAAAACAAAAGGTGACAGAAAGGAGAAGCAGTCCTTTACTCAGGAGGAAGGATGGAAATGTTGTCAGTTCATTCAAGAAGCGACTCTTTGAGGTGACAGGTAATTAAGAATGGAGAAATTCTCTATCAGCTGTGACTGCTTACAGAATCGTGATGGTATTTTGGAATTGAAACTGCTAAACAAAGGGTTGTATCTTTTTTTTTTCTGCTGCTGAAAAGAAAACCATATTAAATAAGTGGTTGCCTATAAATAGCTTGTAATCTACAGCTTTCTACCACTTACTAAAAAGTCATTGTCAATTTGAAAGCCGTACTTTCAAATCAGCTTGGAAACCAGTACTTTAAAACAGCAAGTACAAGAACAAATAAATGGTAGACTGTTGGTGGTAAGGGACATCAAAGGAGAAAACAAGAATAGTCTCTTCCCTTAATTTGTGTCTTGTGTACGTGGACAACATTTTGGGTCTTGCATCTCCCACTTCCCATCTTCCATGGAAAACGCAGATGCTAATATAAAGCACAAAAACACCTATCTGGTATTACTGAGGTTAATCAATGACATTTTGGAATCTTGTGTTTGGCCCTACCCCTCTGGTTTCTCTTGTTTGAAAATGTCAAGATTACTTGTTTCTGATGTAAGGGCTCACTAAGCTGTTTTTTGAGAAGAGCGAGCTGAAATGTTTAAATATTCAGTGGCATATTGTTGGTCATAGCAGATAGTAAGTATTCATAGTAATTGAAAGGGAACTTTTAGCATGTAAAAATACAGAATTATGCATATGGAGGGGAATTAAAAGGGGAAAAAGAGTAAAGTGAAAATTTGTTATCGAGTGGTATTTGGTTTTAATATTTTTCCTGCCCTTGAACTTAAAAAGTGACTTGGTGGATGAACCAGGGATGCTAAGGCTTTCTTTCACACGTTTGGTATTGCAGGGTGGTAAATTTTGTCACGTATATTATTTTTCAGAATTGCACTCGAGTTCCCCAACAGCCTAAAGTCCTCTGATTTTTAGTCCTTAGGATTAGGATGCTGCCAAGGCCTTATCTGCTCATTTGAAAGAAAAGAGCATTTACAGTATTTGGCCTCATTCTGATGTTTCTTGCTTTGACTTTGCATCGATATTTGGTAGCTCCGTGGCTTGTTCAAGTGATATTACAGTCAGGCCATATGTTTATGAAACCAACTGTTACTAGTCTGTCAGACGTGTATCTGAATTCGCTTGGTATGTCAGAATTATGTCACACCAAGATGGAAATATAACACAACATGAACAAATTCACGTCAGTGTCCCCATATGTGCAATTCTCGTGACAACTTTTCACAGTATGTCTTGTGTAAAACTGCGACATGGATGTGAATGTAAGTATGAAAGTAACTAACTAAGGTAATTTCCCTGTAAATTATTTCCCGATTAGAATTTTTATAAAAAATTTGCTAATAAATTTGCTGATTTATTATTTCCATTTGCCGAAGCTCTTATGAGATTCTTGATCTCCACTTCCTTAGCTTTAGCGGATTTCTTTATATTTTGTACACTCACAAGTCAGGTATAAAGTGAAATACTTGTCCCAGGAATTTTTTTCTGCAGCCATTGAAAGAGCGGAAACCTGAAAATAAATGTATTCTCTTCTTAGCTCTGACAATAATTTGGAGCCTTGCAGATTGCCATTATAATTATTAATATCAGCTAGATGACATTTTGCAGCTTTTATAATCAAAACTGCCCTGATCAAACATTTCTGGCTGAAGCCTTTTTCTCTTTCTGTTTTTATTCTTTTAACTGAAAATATCCCTTTATTTAAATGCCTATTTATACAGAAAGTGCTATTGTAATTTTTGAAAAACTGAGAAAAAAGAATAAGTTTGTGTTTCTGCTCTTCTATAAAAACTAGTGAGAATGTGATGCAAGACCTTTACCTGACCAGTGAGCATAGCTGGGTACAGATTCACTTCCGTAAATCAAAGTCAGCTCTAGTAGGAAAGAACAACAGGTTCAAGAAATTGCTAGGAGATCTCCCGGTAGTTTCAGTCAAAGTGAGGATATATTTTTGCATATGAACTGAAACAGAAGGAGTGAAGAAGCAAAGAAGTGGCTATAGAATATTTACTGCCACATTTAGATATTAATTAGTTTAACTTCTTGAGTACTTTAATTTGAAAGCTATCACATAGAACACGCTTATCTCTACTAATGCTGAGCTTTTCCATCTCTAACCTTGTTAACTGTATTCATTACATAAATTTAATTCATATCAGTGTAGGATTAGAATAAGTTAATACAACAATACACAATGAGATCATCCTCTTCCCCTTTATCTTAGACAGAACTCAGGAAATTTTAAATCAAGATAACACACAGCCTTTCAAATGCTATTTTAAGATTTTTGTATGGTGTAGATACTCCTTCGTATTTGTGCCAAAGATGTAGTGAAATTGGTGTATATTTTGCCATTATTACTTGCGTATGTAATGATAAGTCTTCCCATCCCCTTTCTAAACAGAAGGGAGATGGCAGTAGGCCTCATGAATTGACGACATGTTATCGTGACCTTTGCAAGCCTGCTATCTCTGTCATTTTGATCTCTTACAGAGGCAGGACTCTTTGCAATTAAAAAGAAAAGACTTCCTTTTCTTTTTACTTATTATAAGTTCTATGTCTGTATCTCTGCCTGACACTGAGTATCATACCATCTTTGTGGGAAAAATAAATACTAAATTCTTCCTTTGTGAATCAGACAGATCAGAAGGGGAAAGACCAAGAGTATCTTTCCTTGTTAGCACTGTAAAAGGAAAGCCAAAAGAAATGGAGGATGAATTTAAAATCTTTAACATAAGTAAACAGCATAACAGATAGATACTTTTCAACAGCAAAAAACCTGGGCCATAAAGAGTATGCAATTGATCAAGATCATGTGTTTCTTTCCAGTGTGAAATCCATGTATGCTTAATCTGTTTTTCAGAATCCTCAGTCAGTAGCAGCTCTCCTGGATCAGGTCCCAGTTCCCCAAGCAATGGTCCGACCAGCAGTGTAACAGAAAATGAAACCTCAGTTTTGCCATCTAACGTTCAAGCTGAGGTAAGTGTCTTTCTCTTTTTTTGGGTAGACAATTCCTCAGATTTCTAGACTGGACAGTTTTGAAACTTCAATTTGATCGTACTCACAAGCAGGGTAATTGCAGAAGATACAATTATCTGGGATACCAGGACACTGCAGGCTGACATCAGAGTATGTTATATATGAGATCCATCTTCATATATGAGATGCATGCTCAGGAGGCCAGCATATATGAGATGCATGCTCAGGAGACTCTTTGGTAACAAAAGTCCAAACAAAAGCAGCAGTAATGCTACTGGAAGAGTGGGAGGGAGCTATGGAAGGAACCTGGAAGCATCTGTGTTGCAGAACATTACCTTCTGGGATAACCTGAAGAGGTGCACAATGCTAAACGCTGATGAAGAACTTTCACGTGCAAAAGAGTCATTTAGGCATTGGTGACCCTAACACATATGAGTTAAGGTGGTCACAGGTTCAGATGGCTGCTGAAGTAGATTTTTTTAATTAAGACTTGTTTAATTACGGTATCGGAGTTAGGTGACTAAATCCTTTTTCACATCTGCCTTTTATTTTACTGTACCTCAGTTTCCTTATCAGGGCAGGACTTACCAACATAACTGACATGCCAGGAGTCTTGGATACTTGTTTGGTAAAGTGAGATTGTACACGGAAGGAATCTTAACTGCTCCTTATTCTGTTTCATACATACGTGCCTATAACAACAGGAATGCAGATGGTAAATCAGTTGTGATGAACCTCATTTAGCATAGACGACATGCCTAAGTCACGCTTTCCGTGGCAATATTGTAAAGGGACAATAAACTAATGCAACTAAGGGAGAATCAAATTCCACAATATTCTGTATCCAGTACCTATACTTACAGCAATCCCTGCTTTGGTGGCAAAGGTTTCTATTAATTCTTGGTTTATACTGTTTACGTTAGAAAAATTGCATAAGAAAATGTGATTTAACAGAGTTTTAGCTAATGGAGCTATTTCTCCAGGTCAGTGGCAGGACATTCACCTCAAAAAAACCTAGAATGGGCAGTTCAACCTCCAGCAGTGACTTTTCCCCATAATGAATTAATTGTGTGTGTGAACTATGATCCAGGGGGCAGGTGGGTGACCTCTGCACACTGATTAGTAGCCTCTCTCTGGCCCGTAACCAAAAAGAAAAAAAAATTGCATTGATGGCTAACATGTGGTCTTGCCTCATAGCCCCTCTGTATGTGATTGCAAAGAAATTTAAATGATGCAGAATAAGATCCATCATTTGGATTAGATCAGATCCTAGTTCAGTGGAATTGTATGGTATATTTTAATATGGGGAATGTTTTAGATAAAAGTTTCTAATATGTGGATGTTAGTCCTGTATTAAACAGGAAATTTTGTCCAATTGGATCTTGTATTGACTTGAGGATACTACAAAACGCAAAGGGAATAATGTGTCAGACTGATAAACAGTGCTTGTTACTTTGCATGTTATAGTTTCTGGAGACTTGCCCACAGTGTCGAACCACCATCAGACATGCATACAGTCTGGTCAGGCTGGCAATCTCTGTTTGGGGAGATTTGGAAAGGTTATAGCAAGAACCAGCAGAGTTATATTCTGATTATTAGTAGAACAGTGCATTGCATATCATTTGCCATTGCTGTCCCAGACATCAGAAGTTATAGCCCCACCATACAATCACAGATACTCAAATGAGCCTAAAAAGCTCCTTGAGAAGTTGGGCTCTGCGTGCTGGCGTCGGTCACTTAGCTCACTGGAAGCGTGCTAAGAAGCTGAAACTACCGACTTCCATTTCTGGATCCAGCTGGGGATTTCTTTACCTCTCTGGTTACTTGACTGTGAATACTGTGGTCCTGTAGGCTCAAACATTTTTCCATAAATCTCAAGTTTGGTGCATTTTTATTTCAGTGGATTTTCTTTGGTAGTTTAACAGTAGCCAAACTAACTGCTACATATCTCTTTTCTAGTTTAGCATTAGCTGCCAGCTCTCAAAGGCTATATATCTAATCAATTTTTCATCAGATACATGAAGTACAGAAGTTTCTAATAATAGGATAAGTGTTCCAAAATCACCCAAAATATCACTTGTTTTGCTGTAATCCTGCATGACTCACATTGCTGTTGTTTCATAATCGTTGTTGTGACATTTGCAGTAAGTGTTGTGCTCATATCTGAGTGGGTGGATAGCCACAGTTTTCATGGCAGCAAATAAAACACTTTTTGCTGGGGGAAAACAGGTTGCTATGACAGAGAGCCATTTACCAGTAAAACATGAGTCAATACCGTAAATGATTACACTCTAGTGCATAGACAGAATTGGAGCATTATCAGTAATGAAACAGATTTTTAGAGTATTTTTACCATATCCATTTGAATAGCGAGACTTTTAAGTGGTTTACCCTCCGGAGCAAACAGTCTGGTGGGTAGACATTTACATGTTTTTGAATGAACAAACGTGCACTGCAACTACTACATTTTTGCAGATAATCTTTTGCTATCACAGTTCCCTTAATGGTACTTTCAGTACCATTTGTTAAAACAGTGGTCTCATTATATGAAACTTGAAAGTTAAACTCAAGATTTTAATTGCACCCTTATAAATAAAATACTGTTTTTATTGGGCCCAGTTGTCTCCAGTATCATCAAGGTTCACCGCAGTAGCTATTTGTCTCTTGTAGCATGCCGTACATTTTCAGGTCACCTGCTGTGCTGGGGCTAAATCTTACTTGCATGAGAAATGCAAGCAGGATTGAGCCCCTGCACAGCACGTCCCTTGAGTTCAGAGGGACAGCCTGCCTTACTCATGTGAAATGATTAATATTAGGCATTCACAACCTGGTCAAAAGCCATTGAACGCAATGGAAAGTTTCCAATTGGTATCAGTGGGCTTCAGATTGTTTTCCTTCTCTTTCATTTCTGCTTTGCAGAGCAGCATTTCCTACAATATTGCCTGATTATCTAGGAGACATAAATGACATGCATGGCAGATAAACATGTACTTGATTTGTGCAGCCCCACAGCACTCTTTCTAATACTCAGCTCCTTGAGGTGCTCTTTGCAAGTGGCTAGTGACAAAATGTGTAGGTTTCTGACCAGCTGGTGAGGTTTGCTTCAAGTGTATGTGAAGAGAGACTAATTAATTAGCAAAAAACCCACCCCAAAAGCCTTAAGAAATAAGAATGTGATTGTGAATATTCAAAGCTTTGACAGCTTTACTGTAGCTTCACAATTTAGAAGTATTAAAGCCAAACCATTTCCTCTTGCCCTCCTAATGTGTAAATGTGCATATACACATGCACACATGAAATAGGTGTTCCTGCTCCTCAGCAGGTCCTGGTACGAAAACAGAAGTACAATAACTAGTCATGGTTACTTGGTGATCATCATGTACTGTTACATTTAGTTATTGTACTCTGTTTTAAGAAAGAGGGTAACTCTGTTGACAGGATCTTTCAAGCATCAGAAAGCAGGATCCATGGTTCCAGTAAGTATGTAGAGGAGCAAGTAGGGCAGTTGCTCTTTGGGGTAATTTAGGTGCCAGTCCAAACCATCAAGTCTGCATGTAGGAGGAGGACCATGGCTTAGCCATTGTGCTGTCAAATGATACTGGTGGCAACTCCAGTTTGTGCCACCATTTCAAGGTATTGTCAACTGTGTAAAAAGAGAAGCTGCAGCTGGGGTCATGCAGTTGTGCCTCAGCATATGCAGGACCCTAATCTATGCAGGGGGCTACTAAACTTATTTTGGGAGATGAGGTTTAACTGACACTTAGGCTAATATTACCTGAAAATATTTTTAAAAATCAGTTACCTCCCCAAATGAAAATTACTGATTATTAGCAGTATTAAAAATTGGATGGAAATGCTCTTACTAAAAAATTTCTGTTTTCAGCATTAAACTCGCATGGTACATAACATGATTGATTCTGCCTCATGAAACAATCATGCCTGAACTTAATGTGGGAGTGTGCTTTACTGCTATACACCTTGTTACTGTTACATTTGTTAATTCAAATCTTAGAATGTAATAGTGGCATACTGAAAACCAAAAAGGAAACATACAGTTTTGAAGTGGCTCTGTATAGATGCTGCAGTTGCTACAAATTTTATTATATTCTAGGAAGCACATAAGGGCTTCTCCAGTGTCCTTTTTCAGTTAAATCTTTGTAGTCTCCCTCAATAATATCTCCATAGTCTTGACATACTTGGTTTTATTCATGGTCAAAGGTGGATGTTATCAAGGGAAGACACTGTTAGCCAGGAATTAATGTAATATACAAGTGAAGCTTCTTTGTTTCCTATGCTATCTGTTGACATTCCCTAGGTACCAAAAGAAAATTACAGAGATAGACTTCTACTGTTATTGTCTCAGTGACAGGTCCTATCTCCAAACAAACTGTATGAGGAAGGTTATGTTTTGGAATAACATCCTGTGTTTTTGTGCTTAACCACTTTTCATTGATGGTCTGAAGTTGCATTGTATTAGCACAAAGTATTTTACAGAGTTAATTGATATTCCAGGTTTGTCCGGGGGAAAATCTACAGTTCCCCACAACATGCTTGACAAGTTATTATATTTACTTTAGTCAAAGCCCGAGTGTGCAGTATCCCTCTTGGAGGTGGTCTATTATTGGAGTCCCATATGCTTTTTGTTTGGGAAGAAAGCAGTCACTGTGTCATACTGTTACACAGGGTATTCTTTTTCAAGGATGTTGTTCCCTTGGGGACCATATCATGCCAGAGTTCCTAAGTCTAATAAGACCTTTGTAGCTCTTATTGTGTTAAAGTTCTGGGAGGGAAGCAAGAGTTAAACAGAAAATGTAATTCAAGCAACTATACTAGACCACATGTTGAAAAACATGACTGTTAAAGCAGAAACGCAAAGGCTTCAAAAAGATTCCTGTTGTGGTAATGTAACTTTTTATGTTTCTTCCCAATGAATCTAGAATAGAAAGGCAGAGGGTGATCTTTGTAGAATGTCTGGTTTTACTTCACAGTAATTAAAAATATATCAGCGATTCCATGTCCTTGAAAATTATATCAAAAGGCTTCAAAAGAAGTATTAAAGATTTTAACTTGAAGGGAATTAGAAAGGCTGTGAGGGGTATCCCACCATCAGAGAATGATAGGATGCTGGTTTTGTATATATGCATATACAGAGACGGTACATTTTTTTAAATGGCAGATGTGGCAATCTGCCACACTTTCTACCCCAAATTCCCATGTCAATGGAAGTAAATAACGTGCCTGAAACATCCCCATGTCACAATCTGCGTAAGAAAATAAATGGCCTAGGTAGAAACCATATTTTATACCTTACAACAAAAATTATAATAACCATGGTAAAGTAAAGGTCTAAGACATCCACATGCGTGACACCTTTGATTCAGCGAGATATACTCCGTAATTCTTTGGCTAAATTCCCACTGAGTTTCTGGTAGAGAAAGTGCAGCTGATGAGAAGAACTGATGTTGAGCTAATGAGAAGTTGATGAGAAGAGATGGTCTAGGAATCCTCAAGATTTCAGTTTTGCATGGAAATTTGATTTACTAACCAAGGAGTAATCAGTTGTTTTCTTAAGAAAAGAAATATCAACAGCTTTTTCACAGGGACAGTACTTTTCCTTATCTGGAACCCCACTGGGATGCAAACCAATGCATGATACATAACTGGCTTTCAATATAGCAGGATAATGAGGATAAAGTAACCAAGATAAAAAGCTTGGAGATTATACTTCTGTTGTTTTTCCCCTTTATTCCAGCATCTGGTTTCACAGCAACGCCTTTTGATACAGGATGAATCAGTGAACTTGTTGAGTCTGTACACATCCCCTTCTCTGCCCAACATTACCTTGGGACTTCCAGCAGTACAACCTCAGATCAGTGTAAGTGACCAGTCTCAAGCCTTCCTGTCTACTTTTATTTCTAGAAAACCTACTTTCTGTCTATTCTCTTTTTTGAACATAAGCAATTCAGAGTAGGAACCAGACCTTTCTTTGCACTGGGCAACATCTGAACATTTCAGGGCACAATTTGAAAGCAATAATCATTCTTAATCGCAAATAAACAAGTGCTAGAGTGGAGCTTAGTTAAGTATGCACCACATGCATTGCATTTATGTCTGCAAATCAGATAACAGATTTCAGACATGGTGAGAAGTGTATCAGGAGATCATTTAGTATAACAGTTCAAATTATATGATCACCCCTACCTGGTAAAGTATAGCACCTGTAACATTTTATGAGATTCCAGTAGCAACCTAAGCTGGGTTGGAGCACAGTAGGGGAAGAATCTCGTATTCCTGCAGCTAGGTTTGTTATTCGAGGGGTATGCTATCAATCAGACAAATAAAATCGGTGACATGTGAACAATGCTTAATATTTTAATGACAAGTTATATTCATATGCCCTTTGTTTAGTCTGCAACAATCACCTTTATTTAGAGCTAAATGTTCAATTAATACGTGAAATGTATGAAAACACAGACATGGTATGTATCAAAATCCATGCTGATGGATAAGGATCTTTAGATCTAGACCAAGTTACAGTAACCTAGAGGTGAAATCTGAGGCTCAGTAAAATATCTGAAAATTTTGCTACTGGTCAAAACTTTTTGCAGCAAAAAAATTGTAAAAATAATGAAACAGATTATATGGTGGTTCTATACAACAGTGTATAAATTCTGAAGAAATTTTAGCAATTTAAGTTTCTTAGAACGTGAATTGGTTTACTTCTGTAAAATACTAGGGGTCTAAGTACAGCTTTCCATGGTGTAAAAAAAAAAAAAAATCTATAAAATCCACTATGTTTTGTAATAAGTGCTACTTAATTCCAGTGTTAAATGTAGTTTCAAGTTAAAGTTTCATGTTATTTTATGGCTTTTTCAGTACTATGACAAGTTATATTCATATGCCCTTTGTTTAGTCTGCAACAATCACCTTTATTTAGAGCTAAATGTTCAATTAATACGTGAAATGTATGAAAACACAGACATGGTATGTATCAAAATCCATGCTGATGGATAAGGATCTTTAGATCTAGACCAAGTTACAGTAACCTAGAGGTGAAATCTGAGGCTCAGTAAAATATCTGAAAATTTTGCTACTGGTCAAAACTTTTTGCAGCAAAAAAATTGTAAAAATAATGAAACAGATTATATGGTGGTCTATTCTATACGTGTATAAATTCTGAAGAAATTTTAGCAATTTAATTTTCTTAGAACGTGAATTGGTAACTTCTGTAAAATACTAGGTGTCTAAGTACAGCTTTCCATGGTGTAAAAAAAAAAAAAATCTATACAATCCACTATGTTTTGTAATAAGTGCTACTTAATTCCAGTGTTAAATGTAGTTTCAAGTTAAAGTTTCATGTTATTTTATGGCTTTTTCAGTACTGTTCTCACCAATAATATATTGCTACAACCCAACATTCCAACATCAGATATAGAACTTTGCAAAGGAAATTGTGTAAGCTTTAAATCAGTTCTCTAGAAGCCTTTCATGAGATATTTATAAGCAAATTATTGTTTTTAAGGGATGGAAAAATTGAACTGATCATGAAAAGTAGTGCTTACTTTTCCAGACAATATAATCAAAAATTTCTTAGCTATTTCACAAAAATATAACTAGCTTCAAAGTAGTTTTATAGCATTAAAATGGAAATGAAAATATGTTTAATTTTCTCACTCAAATCGTAGGAGCTTTTGATGTGGCCAGCTAGCACCAAATATTACTTTTGGCATCAGAAAAAACAAAAGGGTTGATTTATGCACGTAATGTTTATTTCTGTTACCAGAATAAGCAGTTGCAAATTGAATGTAAAGTTTACTTTGGTGTTTGTTTTTCAGGGAAAGGTGATAGCAGAGTGTGAAGTAAGCATACACACGAAAAATATTAGTGAAAACCTTGGTTTGCCTCATTAGAATTTATGGAATTCAGATTATGAGAGATACTGTTTTTACCATGACATACCATAAGTGGTTGTCTCCAGGCCTCAACACGCTTATTTCCATTAGGTTATTATTCTTGCTGTAAAAAATGTTATTCTGCTTTAACTGCTCTTTTAAGAATTTTTTTTTTAAAACTAGACAAAGAACAAAGAAATATAAAGTACCTTTGCAATGCTGAAGAGCCAAAACTTCCAAAAGCTTTAAATCAATAACTGTGCAATTTATAAGGGCACTTTAAAATGCCACACACGTACAACAGCTCTTGATGATTCTGCAAATGAGAGTTTAACTGTACAAATTTACTTTGCAAAAGGTAAAACTTATATTTGTCCTTCAGGGAGTCAGGGAGTGCTCCAGGAAAAGTAATAGCTTCCCACTACTACAGGTAATTATTTTGTTTTGCTGATTGGCTTGCTGTCTGATGGAAAGTTACGTGAAAAACCAAGCCTTGCCTATTCCAAACTCAATGGAAACTATTTCCTCTGATCCCCTATTTTCCTGTGCAGGAGGCTGTGGCAAGGTCTTCAGGAATTTTAAGGATAGGTCCTGTCTTTGCATTAATAATGTTCTAACTAGTAGTTCCTTATGCTTTGGCTTTTATTACTGATTTTTTTCAAGTGGTTTCATTACTCAGTTTCTCACAGTGTTACATTTAACTGGCATGTTCTTCCTTCCTTTTCATCTCACAGTCAAAGTGTAAGATAGCGATATTAACCTTTTCTTCTATATATATTCATAAAGTATGACATAAGACCATCTAATCAAGCGGAGATATAAATGGCCAGGTCTATGAAAAACAGTTACAAGTGCCGTTGTTCTTTGACAGGCTTCACCATCATTCAAAGAAAAGCAGAAGGGGGAGACCCAGTCGCTCAGACAAGGAGTGGCCTTGGCTGGACAGTATGGGGGGAACATTCCTCCGTCCTCAACTCATCCTCATGTTGCTTTGGAGGGAAAGCCAAATAGCAGCCACCAAGCTCTCTTGCAGCATCTGTTACTGAAAGAACAAATGAGACAGCAAAAACTTCTTGTGACTGGTAATGATCAAGGCTTCAACACAATAATAATTTAAGATGTTTTTAATGACATTTGTATTCACATTAAACTAAATGTGGTAATACAGATACTATACATCCTAACTGTTGGGAAAAGTGGAAGGGTGGGAGAAAAAAGGACAGGATCTTTGTTTTCCCCCTTTAGTGATTTTGCTCCAGTCTGTTCGCCTGAAAGAATTCAGTGATTACAGAAAAGAGAAAATGATTACTTCATCACATTCTTTTGCAGCTGCCGAACTTCCCAGCATGGCGAGGCACGTGGTACACATCCCACTGCATCAGCGCTGATGCAAAGTTCTGCAATATACACCCCCTCTTCTCGCTGAAAGCTTTCTCTCCTATTCAACTATTAGTTTGTTGTTCTTCACGCAGGATTGAAATGTCCTTGTTTTGCAGGAGCAGTTCCTCTTCATCCACAGTCTCCTCTAGCAGCGAAGGAGAGGGTCTCACCTGGCATAAGAGCTGCCCACAAACTGCCTCGTCACAGGCCACTGAATCGAACCCAGTCAGCTCCTCTTCCTCAGAGTACTTTGGCCCAGCTGGTCATCCAGCAGCAACATCAACAATTTTTGGAGAAGCAGAAACAGTACCAGCAGCAGATCCACATGAATAAGGTGAGTTCCCAAGGAGAGGAATTTCCAATACGTGTAAAGGTTGAAAACTAATAAGGAAGTTTAGGTATTGGTGCCATGTGGTTACGGACAGTAGACAGGTTCTTGCACGAGTATCTTGTTTATGCATAGTTCATGTATACATTTGTATAGATCTTCATTTTCAGCTTCTGAAATATCCTACAAAGGTAATTAGTGGTTCTTGACATCAGTAAGAATACAATTCAACAAAATAGGGTTCAAAGCATCTTACAGGTTTAAATTACAGGTGGTTTCCTGTTGAACGGTAAATGACGCCTTAAAGATTACTAGGTTTCTATCCAACTTTTTAATATGCACTTTTGAGCTTCAGCAATCATTCCATTCAGCTGCCTTTGAATTGTATTTTAAGCTTTCTCATCGTGGTTTAGTATGTGGAGAAAATATATAACTCATTTGAACTCAATCAGCTGATAAAATTTATCTTTCTTGTGTAAGAAACTTATTAAACATCTGGAGAAATTTTTAATCAGCTTTTATCAAACCAACTGTTTCTCTGTAAGTCAATTAGTAACATGAAAGTTTGTTATCTATATGGCAATATAAAATTACCATATAAGGAGAAAGAGAAGAATGTGCTATCACTAACATCAGGTACAGAGTTGAATTGTGCCCCTCTTTTCCTGTAGAGTAGCACCTTATTCTGGGGGTGGGGGGGCGGGGGGAGAAGAAAAGGGACCAGCCATTAATAAACAAAGAGCGACAGACTCTAAACAGATTTATCAGGAATTAATGCTTCTACAACAAACGTGATGCTGTTCCCTGCTCTAAAATTAAGATATGCAAGTAATTAAATGCTTTTATCTGGAGAACATTTTCTGCACTTACTACATAGCTTTCCAAAAGTTGTTTGCTGGAGCTCCTCTCATAATTCAAAGATATTAATCATGCATCTTTATTTGTCTTCTTTTGTTTGAGGGTTACTTAATAACTTTATATAAGAGGTAATGGCAAAGAAGAAAAGATGAAAAGCGGGCATTCAGCCCTTGTACCTAAGAGAAAGGAAAAAAAAAAAATCAGTCCACCTTACTTGGTGAACTTTCCAGGGGGTACTGATTCTTTGGAATCTACTAAGAATTCCCAACAAAATTAGAAACAAACCTAGAGTTTAAGTACATAGTTTGTACAGTGGTTTGGTTATTAAATCTTGTCTTAATTAGAAAAAATGAAGACCAGAAAACTTCAAAGTTCAGAGCTGATCCTTGCATGTTAACCCCTCTCAGCTTGGGTGTTTTGATTACTCAACTAGGACTCCAGTTGGCTTTTCTTTGAGTATGCATTCCATATGTTTAATCAAGATGGCATATGTATATCTCGTAGCCTCAGGTTTTGGAAATATTTCACCTGCCCTCAATTGTCTGAAGAGAAAAGAATTTTTACTGGTAAAGCACTGAGTCTTTATGCTGTTTGTGGGTATTCACTACAAACCGATCAGTTCATGCATTCCTCACAAAGCAAAGAACCCCACTGACATGTTTTTGTTAGATCGTATGCTTATTGACCTAAATTCTACCATAGCATTTGGGGATATGTGCTGTGGCATATAGGTACATTTGTCCTGAATGTGAAAATTAAAGTTGAGTCGCATAAACATATTCCTAGTCGCATAGGACTAGGAATGCATTGTACCTCACAAGAGCTAGGCTGGATAAGGAAGTAAAAAGACTGCGGTTGATTTGGGATAATGCTTGTTTCAGTAATATTTTTTTTCTCAGTTAAACTGCAATGAAAATACATGTTAAGGAGAATAATTCCCTCTCGTACTTGAAATACGCTTTCATTCTCACATGGTTATTTGTGATAAAGAGACAAAACAATTCCTTCTTTTAAAACCTAGTGAACCTAGCTTTTATTCTCTACAGTATAGGCTATACACATATGCAGGTAGCAGAAATTTAAGTTTATTCTAGGACCTTTCGCTGCCGTGAACCTCCATAACCTGCTTCCTTTGCCCCAAAAGCTTCTCAGTCTCCTTTATCCCTACTCCCATAGCAGCTAGCCTTCATCAGTAGCTCATCAGAGCAGCAAGCACCTAAGGAGGAACAGGATCATGCTGCCGCCACAGAAGCAGTGGGTTATCTGAGGATGCGGGTGGTTTATCTGACTTTACAGTTTGCAGCATCTAGGTTCTTCTACAGCACCGTTCTCAGAAGAACCGTGCTGATGAATAGTACTGAAAAATGTTAGTGCTCTAATCATGTATGTCCTTTGCAAGTACACAGAAAGCCAGGGGGCTTTCTTACATACTTAAAAGAAGAAACTTGATTTTTAAAAACTGGAATTTAAGAGTAGCCCGTAGACAAGAGAGTGAGAAAAGATCAAATCATGGAGTGGCTTTTAAGTACTGAATTTAAAACTGTATTTTTTAACCCTTTAAGTTAAAGGTTCAGATTGAACACCTATGCCTACATAAGGTTTTTGAACTCTACTAGCATGGTGGGATATACTTTGTTCAAACTTAAAACTTGCCTCTATTTGCAGTTGAAGTTATTCGTGCATTATATAATTTGCATGGCTTTACAATCAAACTTAAACTCTGCACAGCGGAGTTATTTGAACCTTAAAACAGTTGATATTCTAGACCATGTAGCAAAGCAACCCCATATCTTCTCATTTCTTCAGACAAGTTTGGGCATGTATCGAGTGAATACATACACTTGTTATTTTCCATTGTTCTGTGCCTTGCTCTTCTGTTTATAGACCATATAATGAAATCTGCACAGAAGTATAATTTCCTCCTTTTCAATTATGAAAAATGTAAGGTTTTTTTAATAAGGAATACTCAAACATTCTCTTAAAAGTTTTGGTGAGAAAGACCAGAACCATTTTAAGCTGACAAGACTATGAAATGCTGGTTGATCAAGAGCTTAGAACAAGTTAATATCTTCCTTCTCTTTTCCATTTATCTTTCCTTTTTTCCTTATGTTTAGGACTTCAGGTACTTAAGGCTTTAATATATTTCAACTGAACCCAGTATTTGAATGTTTGCCCTGAACCAAGATGATACGGCATGTGTCAGCACTCCCTGAAAACTGTTTTTGGTCAGATCTTTTTGGCGAACATATATATAGGTGAATCTTGCTGTAACAACAAGAAGAGGAGGAGAGCAAGTTTCTCCACACCCCATTGATCTTGTATTTATCTGGTATTAAAAAGCCATTTCTTTTCTTTGAGAAAAGAATATGCTTCAGCAGCAAGCCAGTGCTGCTGTGAGGGTGATAACAAGCAAAATCTAACGTAGGTCAGAGGTAAAGAATTCCCCTAGATCATTTCCATTCTGAAAAGAAACAAATCATTGCCAAGAGGTGTGCCTCTGTCCTTAATAACAAAGAGAAGCTCCCCTATGGATTATTTCTGGTCAGCTGTCAGATGCCAGGTTTTTGATGTGGGAAACGGTATACGTCTCCACTGAAGTCTGACATTTATACCTGCGGGATCTAGTATGCTGACCTTCTGAAAACATTCTGCAAATGTTGACATCCCATCCAAAAGTAGGTAGAAACTCTCGTCCCAGCTTTCTGGGGAAAAAATAATAATGAATGTGAAGTAACCTGAACTCCGCTTGTCTTAGGGAAGATCGCCTTTGCCGTTGTCAGCTTTAATATACTTCTGTCCAAATGACAGCTTATTTCCTCATAAGGCCCTTTGATCACCATTGCAGATCTTCATTCTGCTCAATAAAGGCCGTCCAAAGTCTGAACCCCCCAGTGAAAATTACTGCATTCGGGTACCAAAAGACCACTACTACAATAAAAACCTTAAAATCTTGATGTTATTTGTGTATCTAGAAAGCTTTGACCCTGCCACTTGCAGAAGAAAGGGTGATTTTGATGTAACTAATGTTAAGTGCAAAGCCCCTAGCAGAAGTCTGCATTCAAAATAATCTTGGAAATAATAATGTGAAGAGTAAGTGAACAAAACCCTCTGTCTTTAAAGGCTATTTTTGTCACGTATGATGAATGAAGGCCTGCCTCCGCTGAAGCTAAACTAGCACTGTCTTCACTGGGACCAAGATTTTATTTGATCAGTGTGGGAAACCTACATGTGTTCTTAAAATAATGTATTCATAGCATTTTGACAATTTGTTTTCAATGGTAAAATCCTCCTCTGTATTGGAGTAGTAAAGGTTAAAATAATGGGGCAGTTGGTAGTGTGCACTGAAGTATTGGAGCAGTATGGATAATGTTAAAGCTTAGATAAGGAGTACTTGAATATCAGTTTTCATTCCAGGATGTTAATTAGTTTAAAGCATCTTTGTATAGGGAACCAATGACTGGGCAAGACTGAGATCCATGACAAAAAGTATATAGGAAGTGAAAATTCGTTGGTGCTTTGGATGGCGACCATAACTGGCCAATAGCTGTTAATAAAAAATGAAAAATAATATGGAAGTGTCTGTTGATTTATTGATGGAAAAAATAGGAAGATTATTTGTTGTCAATAGGAATATTGAAAAGATACAGTTAACCCCAGATTAATCATTCACTTCTCTGAATGATATTTAATGAAATACAGAAGACTGGATCAGGTCCAGCTGGAGTAAATTAATCTAGTTTCATGAAACATGTTACAACTGAGGTTTTGGCTTTCCAGCTTACACATCTGACTAGCATCTTCTGAAGGTGAGAGGTAGCACATTTCTTCTTTCAAATTTTGCTTATAGCAGAGTATTATTTGGACAAAACTATAGCAACAGTTGAGTGGGTTTGGAACTGAAAAATGCCCAGAGCATTTTCTCCTTTATTGAGAACTAATGTTTGAGCCATAATGCAGAAGAATGATTTTGAAAGATAAATACATCCCTTAGAAACGTACTACATGAGTAACAGAGACAACAGTAAGCAGGTGCCAGGTTGTTTCAGTATAGCTAACAACATACATAGCTGGTCAAAGTAATCTGATAGCCATAGGAGAGAACGAGAAAAAGTGTGTTCCATAAGTATATACATGAGTTCTTAGAAACAACTGCCATGTATTTAAACTGAACAATTAATTAAGGAAAGAAATGTATGGGGTGGCTGTTGCAGGATTTTATGCTTTGTCTCCTTGTAAAGACTTTTTTTTTTTTTATAAAATATTGTATTGCACAAGAGCTTATCATTACAAAGGAGAAACAAAGGCAGGGGCTGCAGCTGAAGGACCTATAAAATGGTCTGTTGCAATGTCCAGATTATTTATACTTAGTCTTCCACTTGTTCTGTACAAGCAAGCAGGTTAGATTGTGTTTGATGTCTTTTTGGTTGGACTCTTGCAGTTATACAATGGAGTTGATGTCTGTAAATGCTTCCTCTGCTGCTGCCACTATTTACTTTGGCTCATGCATATCCTTTACAGTTTAATTTCCTGAAAATAAAAGGGAAAAAAAATAGGTTACATTAGTATGAAACCATTTTTTTGAGTGACTCCTTTAGTTGGAACAGTGATAACAGTGAAGTGTGGTGGTTAAAGAAAGACCAATGTGCACAACTCTAATTTATTAGTGAAATAAACTGTGGTTTTATTATTATTTTTAAATGTAGTCTTATTAAAACTCAGATTAAGCAATCACTTTTGCAAAATCAAAAATATGCATTAAAATGAGGAGAAAGTCCTGCATTGCATGTACCTACAGATAAGTTCAGAAAAAAATGGTAAGTGGGGATTTAAAGTGAAAGATTTAAACATTAAGTGTAACCAGAAGTATCCAGCTGCACAATGAAAGGACTTCAGCAGTGTTTCATTCAGAACTCATTTTCTGCTACGTAATCCAGCTTTAGATAGAGATATAAGATAGAAATATTGACTCTAAACTGGTATCTTTGCATGTCTCCAGATACATAATTTTCCACAGTAGTACCAGGAGATATAATATAAAATAAGATGTTTCTGACTTAGGAGGACTGAACAGTCTCCTAGTAATTCTACTAATGTAATTACTGAAATAAGATGGGGCCAAGCTACCTTTAAAAACCACTTTAACAAATATGAAATTATGGTGGTAATACAGAGAAAGCAGTCCGCTGTGCTTTAGCAGACTGAGCAGCATGAGTGGCTTTCAGTTTTGGGTGTCCGTGTCCCCCATGCCATCCACTCATTTTTATCATGCTCCATCAGATGAGAGGACATGACTGTAATGCCTCATAGTCCCTTGCCTGAGGCTTAGTTAAAGTCACAGTGTAGAGGATGTTTTTAATAAGATTTTGCCATAAAGATGATAATATGAATGCACTTTGTAAAATCTGCTGTGCATAAAGACTTTCATTTCACAGAGTTTTAGAAAATTTAATTTGTTTAGCTCCTCCTGTCGCCAAAGACTGGAACAAATCACCTGCTGGGGATTTGGGAGCAGGCTCCAAAACAGCAACTGCAAATTGCAGTGTAGACAAATACCACTCTAGTCTCTACAGCCCCCTTACGTGTGCTTGTATCACTTTACTGATTACATGCAAAAAGCGTTTGAAGGTGTTCCACGTATAGATTATATACTGCAGTCCATCATGTGTTGCCTCAGAAAGCTCAGCAGCAGATCTGTGCCGTACAGCAACGTGAAGAAAAAAGAGCCTGACATAAAAGTGAAAAAGCATAGAAGAAAGGAGAGCAGTAATGAGCTAAATATGTGTCTTAACTTTGCTGTGGACATGCACTCATTTTCTCTTGGCTTCCCCTCCAGAATAACCCACCTGATGTCAAGTAACTGGCACATGGAATGGTTTACAGATGGATCAGCATCAGTGACTCTCATAGCTGTATCTGATTATCTGTCACACAGATGTTTCAGCTTGTATTTGCTTGCTAGCAGCCAGCCAAGCAGCCAGACCTGCCTTTCTTTTCTTGCTTGAGGAGTGGAGAGGGCTCACACACAGATGTTTAACTAAGCGACAGAGAGGCGTGTACCCAAGCTGAATACACGTAGTTAGCTTCAGTGCCTTCTTGGTCAGCATCATCCCCTGAGGAACAACTGGAAAAGATTTATGGGTTTGATCTAAGAAATTTTCCAGATGCTGCTTAATAAAAGGAGACACTCTGCATTAGTTGCAGTAGTAAGGATTCCCCAGCTTAGAGCGTGCCACCTGCAGCATGCAGGATACACGTGTTGTGATTTGCCAGTTACTACAGTAATGAAAAGGGATTTTTTTTGTTTGTTACATTTAGTTAGTCATTAAACTCCCATTACTCCCCAAAAACGGAGGTTCACTGTGACCGAAGCCTGTAGACTTCCCCTGTGGAATTTGTTTCTCCACTGATGTGAGGTGCATGCATCAGAGCATCAACTGGAACTGCACAAACAGATCTTTCAACTCTTCTTGTTGACTTTGTGGGAGTTCCTGAATCCAGCTGTAGCTTCTTGATCATAGTTTACATGACAACCCTGCCCTTCACTACGGTGGCATTTTTCTCTATGCATTAGCAAGCAGAATGAAACTAGACCGTCCATGGTTTGTGACAAAAATAGCTATGCTGAAGCCATCCAGTAACTCAGCATGTAGCAATAGCTAAAAGTCTGTTTGAAAGACTTGATAGTTGCAGGGAAAGGCAGATGGGAAGAGGAAAGTATGTAAGAGTAATGGGAAAAGGTGGGGGTTTTTCCCCTCTCAGTATGTTTGACCTTGGTGGTACAAATCAGTAGTTGCTTGAAATCAAGTGGGCCAGTTGAACAAATGATAATTACTCACTTGACCCTGCAGATGCTTACTCACATGTCTGATTGGCGCCTCTTTCAACAAAGCGGGGATTTTTTTCAGTTTGGCTTTTTGGGTTGCATTTGGACTATTTTGGAACACATTTGCTGCATCTTAAATGGTAAAATGGAAACTGTACTTGATTGCAACAGTGAGGCATCTGGCACCTCAGCAAAGCTTTACAATAGCGGATCATGGTGTAAAGCCAGTATTGTCTGGGTAGCTGTGTTACATCATCACTGCTGAAACAGGGATACCTGTACCGTGCATGGCGAAAGCTGAAGTCTTTCCAGTCATGGACAGACATGCTTGTAGTCTCTTTGTGCCACAGGAGAGGTGACTGACAGGAGCTCTTTGTCACCGCTCCTTTGTCGACTTTTCATGCCTTCACACTTTAATTGATAGAGAAGCTTGTGTGAATATTCCCTGATTTGCTTGTAGCAAAATATTAACCGGATTAATAATTTTCTTACTTCTTAGAGTTCTTTTTATTATTTTGTGGTGTGGAAAACAAACTGTAATATAGTTAAATAAATTTCTGCATTTATGTTTGAAGAGTATGAAGGGAGACTAATTTCTCTTGATTACTAGCTATAACAGTGTAACAGATGTGTAATATTTTCATTATTCTGCCTTATTTTTAGTTTAGTATTACTGTATAGCACTCTCTACATACATGGTATTTTCAACTGCAGAATAACAAGTGCCCTTTTGCCTAGGAGCTTTGGTTCTTTTTCCCCTCTACACTAATAGTTTAGCGATGCATAGCTACCTGGGTTTGCTGTGGAAGCTTTGATTTTGTCAGTGCAAATCTAGTACTTCTCGGTGTTTGGCATCGGGGAAAGGAGTCAATAACTCTTGCCCCCCTTCTCTTTCCAGATGCTCTCTAAATCCATTGAGCAGCTCAAGCAGCCTGGCAGTCACCTGGAGGAAGCTGAAGAAGAGCTTCACGGAGATCACTCGATGCAAGAAGAGCGAGCTCCGGCCAGCGGTGCCAGCGTTAGGGCTGAGAGCAGCAGTGCTGGTGTGGATGACAGAATAGGACAGCAGGTGGGGGCTGTGAAAGTCAAAGAGGAGCCACCGGACAGTGATGAGGATGTTCAAACCCAGCAAATGGAATCTGGGGAGCAAGCTGCTTTTATGCAACAGGTAATAGGCAAAGATTTAGCTCCAGGATTTGTAATTAAGGTTATTATCTGAACATCAACATGCATTTTCTAGGCTTTGATAAGCAATTGTGTTTTGATTCACTGATCTAGCAAATCCTGATTTACTGGTCAAAGAATTTAACAAAGGCAGAAGTGTTGTATGCACACTTGAAAACATAGTGAAGCTCATCCTTATGGCTACTAATTGAGAAAATACCTGTTGCAGTCAATTATTCTAAATAAATCTTTGCATAATAGCTGATAGACTTTGTATTAGCCCAGGATTACATTACATCGCTTAGTTCTAGTGAACGAGAACTCGTATCATCTAGCTTGTCGAGATCAGCAATTGCTGGAATTAGTTTCCAGACCTGATTGATGAAACATTCTTCTTCTCTGATTTTGAATCCTCTGACTTTTGCTTTCAGCTATCTGTATATACTGTATCATACTGTAGTCTTGAACACTGTTAATGTTAGGGTATTTTTTCCCCTGTAGACAGGTACTGACTGCTATATCAGTGGTCCCAGGCTGGTGTATAAAGTATAATTTAGAGAAGAACACAAGGTGGATGTAAAGAGGCAAGGCAAGGCACTGTTTAAAAATTGCATTGTTTTCTTTTTTGCACTGCTTAGTTAATTTTTCATTCTGTCTTCTTTGATGATACTGTCTGCAGAGACATCCTTAAATGAAGCAGATGCAAGTACTGGTGAGAAGCAAAATGCAGCATTAGGTTCCAATCAGTTATTAGGATATTGCAGGAAAAGCACAGAACTGTTATCATTATCATCTGATATCCCATCACTTGTTTTTTTTTTTCTAAAATAAAGACTAATCATACAATATCACATAACCTTTACTGCTAGGTCTCATAGACAAATACTAATGTAACGACTGTGCATAAAATGCCAGCTTGGCAAAAGGCAACTTCAGATTGTCGCTGAGCATTTCACCAAAGCTGAAAAGCGCAGTGCATTTGTGCGGCCAGTGAGCTGGCGTCCCTGTCTGTTGGTGCAAGATCAGGCAGAGCAAGGCTGGATGCAGTGGAAGGCCCTGTTTATTTAAGTCTCTACTTTGTCAGGTCCCCGCTGTTCTCCTGCAGAAAAGTGATTTTGGGAGGGGGGGCAGGAAATGCCTTATGGAAACAGGAAGCCCCAGTGATTCATGTGCTGGGAGGGGGGGGGGGGGGGGGGGGCCGGGGCAGCGCTCCCTCTGTTTTTAAAGGCACTCTATGAATTGATTTATTGTCAAAGAAAATAACAAAGCGAGTAGGGAAATTGTTAAGGAAGCTTTCCAGTGAAACATTTCCTTCATATTCCCTTTTGATATGTTTACCTTGTTTTATAGGTTTACTTTTGTTAAGCTAGTTAAAGATTCATTGTATTAAGATCCCCTTTAATATGGATAATCCCAAACTGACCTGGAATCCTTGTCAGGTTTTTTTTCTATTAAAAATATTTATATTTCTAAAGCTGAGGTATTTTAAGGTGCAGTATCCTGTTTCAAAAGAGATAGCTGTTTTGCCAAATGTAGAAATTGTTCTAAAATATGTTATTAGGATGTGTTGTTTACATTATGTTCTAATACTATTAAATCTCCTATAAAATGTTGCAACTTCTAAAGATACATTATCCTTTTTCCTAGAAGATCTCCAAACAAATGACTAAATAGTTGCTATAAAATGAAAGATCATCTTAGATAGGAAAGATTTATTAATTGAGAAAATACAGGTGATTTTTGTGTTCTTCATAGTTGAACAGAAATCTTTCTCCTCCTTGGATGAAAAAAAAATCCCATTCAAAAAGTGATGCATATAAAAATGTAATTATATGTTTTTCCCATTCTGTATAATTTTAATTTTCTTTGAAACCTAAGTCCAGCCTCATCAAAAAGGGATAGTGCATCTTTTAAAATACATTTTATTTGGGGAGAAACTTACAAATGAGAAGACTTTTGTACAGTATCACTTCCAAGACATGTATTCACAAAGGACAAAAGATATTTTTATAATGTCATTCAGGTGAGAAACCCCAAAACATTGGTGAAGTTTAATTTCAGAATCTTTCAAATTTGGATAAAATTAAAATAGAGAAACTACCTGGAACCAGTGAAAAGGAAAACTGGGTTTAAACAACCACATTTCTAATTGATAATTGTCTCTTACATTTTAAATCTACTGTATTTATTATAATTTACACCCTTAGAGGTGATCTCTTGTTTTGTGTTGTAAATATATTCTGTTTGTATGTTCCCTTTTTTTGCCTTCTGGTATAAGTCTCTTCCTTTCTCAAATAAAGTTTTTTTTTTAAAAGATCCCCTTTCAGATATCTGACTTTGTGTAAAGTTGATAACTTAGTTGTGCTTTTGCTTTGTATAACCAAATATGTTCGCTACACATTGTTGAAACAATTCAAGCTTTCAGGAGCAAGGTTTTTATTACACTATTCTTACAATAATTACACAAAGTCTTTTTTTGGTCTCTTGTTTTATCCTACATCAGCCATTATAAGTTTTAGTGAATGTGGAAATAGTATTGATGCATGCTCATTTTCCCATCATGGCATCTGTCTTGAACATGTGATCATATATTGTAGCATATAGGAAAAGTAAAGGTGAATCCCAGTTTCTTGGCTCCTAATTATCCAAAATTCAGATAAACCGAAATAATTTCCATGACATTTCTAAAATCTGCCTAGAACCCAAAAGGTGTTGATCTGCAACTGAGCTTATGCTGACCTCTTCGATAGTCCTCAAGAAAGACCTTTGCAAAACTAGAGTCCGCCTCTAAATATGCTGGGGAGGAGGGAATCCATAAACTTTGCAGACTTTAAAGCAATCATGTAAGACAGTGAAGTCCTGCTTTAGAAACACCTAAGCCCTTCCTTGAAGATGTTAAATGCTTTACTGGTTTGTGACATTTCCTGAACTTCGCTTCAGCTCTACAGCGAGAAATAGTTTGTACTACAAACCTATCCCTGTTGCTAAAGTACATGAATTATTATTACCAAAAGAGTTCAGGTAATTGTTGCATTCTAGGTCTTCTAACTGTTCATTTAAATTGCAAAGGCTCTTAACAGCGTCGATTTTGGTATAATTTTAACTAAAATAAAATACTTTCCACGACATAAGTGTGTAAGAATAAATATTTCCATAAATCAAATTTAATTATTTTCAGTGATATAACAGCAAAGTTTCATCAGTCATACACAAAAAGAATATTAAATAAAAAGTCAAGTTTTATGTTAGGAAACTTAACTAGCATTAACAGTATACAATTATATTGCTCGCCCTGTTGATTATTATATGTATTTAGAATTTTGTGCCTATAAGTAAATCATGCTTTCAACAGGGATTTTATTGAGATGCCTTTTCTTTAAATACTCAGGTCGGAATTAGAAGAGCAGCCATAAATGTTTTCGATTTACAACATCCCAGTTTTGGAGGCTACGCCTAGATTTTTTTCTAAATTATTTGTTTACCATGCATCAAAGCCCCCATAATGAAGAAAACAATCATAATTTAATACAATTCACAAGCCTTATCTTTTCCAGGAATGCTGTGCATCTCTTCTGTTCAAAAAAAAAAAAAATGCTTATTCTGTCCTGTTGTCCAAAAAATAAAGCCAGTATAGCTGCCAATTTAGAAGTAATTACTACTAAATGAGGGAAAATGCTTCATAATATTTATATACTCAAGACAGACACACATTACTGGAATGTAGGTAGTGTAACATTAGCCTTTTTTTCATCTCCTGGCATTAACAAAATAGGATTAAAAGCTGAATGCCTCAGCAAAGCAGGAGCACTCCAGACACAACCACCACTCATCCTTTCTATTCAGCAATTCATTCGTGCACTATCATCATGCCATTTCCATTATCATCAGGATCACTAAGACTTACTTCATGTTACTTAAGCCAACTTTACCCTGTTTTTATCTTCACTGGCATTCTGAGGTAAAAATCTATAAACATTAGTCCCAAGCACCAATCTAAAAATGTTTACTTATTTCTCCCCCTTACGAACACTTCACAATTTGCAGCCAAAATTAGCTAAGGCAAGTTAATTTCCTTATTGTATTCTGTCCCACTAGCAGCATGTCCTACTTATCCACTTAAGAGATGTTTGTTTGCTTTTCATTTATTTGTTTAGTTTCTGATTTCCTTATGCAGTTCCCATCATCTGGGTGGTAGTGGGGCTTCTGTACCTCGTTTCTCAGTGGACGAATATAGCTTAGAACATCATACGCTGAATTGCTGTTCAGGCAAACAGAAGAAGAGCATCCTGGATAAAATTATCTTCTCTGTTGCTCTAGAGCAATAATCACAGTGATTTTGGTGGAATTTTACCACTCTTATTTGGTAGACGCTGTACTTTGAATGTGGTGGACTTTGTACTTTGCATTTGCTTTTTCCTCTTTTAACTCAGCCTAATGTGGAATTAGATTTAAAGGCAAAAAATACAATTAGATCAAACTGCCTAGCCAGCAGAAAGGCTGGGTTTCTCAGCTATGCTCACGCACTCACACACATGAACAGAACTGGGAAGGGGCATCCTTCAGGCATGTCCTGGCTCAAGGGTCACACTCCTTTTGCTAATTTTGGTTCTGGCCCCATACCTCATCTAGCCCATACAGGACGACTTCCCCGGCTACCTGTGGGCACGCACAGCTATTGGAGACCCCCAAGGGTTACTAGAGCAGCAGCTGAGACTTAAAAGGGTACTAGCTTAGTAACTTGAAATCATTCAGCAATGTCTAATTCTCTGTGATGGGGGCCTTAGTTACTAGAGTTGTTTTGACAGACCAGATAGATAGGTAGATACTTACTTGTAAGTGATTCAGTGCCTTAATTAGCTGATTAAATGAGATGTTTTGAATCTGGCTGTGTAGCCTTTTGGGCATTTGTTTTACTTTACTTTCCATAGTTGCCTTGAAGTCACTGTATTGACTCTAACAGTACCTAGCCCTGACATATAAGGGAGGTTGGTTGGAAGATGTGCT